ACGTAATGTTCAATTTACATGTACTTAGTGTTTATTATTCAACTCGGAGAAATCCAAGTTTGTAACATTTGTTTAATACAGTCTATTAGAAAACTTTTTTTTTTCTCCCCAAAACCTTTTTCGGATGAGAAATGTTAACAGAAATGAGCTGATAATGTCACAAAAATGTAATCAATTTAGTCGGAAGATCGGCTTTCTCTAAAACCTGACCTGATTGAGAAAAATGGATGTCATTTTTCAGCAGTGCAAAGTCGTCCTAATTCAGATGAAAAAGCAGACGACTTCCAAAAGATATTTTTTTGTAACCCAATGTTACGATAAATTACAGGACAAAGTTATTTGTAAAATTTGTGTTTAATTATCAAACAATAATATACACAATGTTGCAGAAAAGAAAAATAATCCCCTTTTACTTTCTGCTATTAATATTAAGTTGAAGTGCTTATGGGGGAATTAAACAGAATGTATTTTGAAAAGAAAGCAGACATGTTGAGTGCAAACATTAAAAAAGGTAAGAAGTCAGACTCATCTATTTAAGTGTAAGCTCTTAATATTTGGGATTTTGATTCCTGCATATACACTGCCATTAAATCTGTGAGCAAATTCCAGCAATTTCCTGGACATATAGAGGAAAAACTGCAAACAAAAGCATTGATCTCATCATGGTATTGATCCAAAACCATTACTCACCTCGGTATGGACAGTATTGATATCTAGATCAATACGCCCAGTCCTGCTGAATGGCTGCCAGGGGAGATTCAAGGATTCCTCAAACATGCGTGAAATAATCAAAGCAACACTCCAGCCATGTTTTTGATGGGAGAATAACTTTATAGCATGAAAAAAGCTCAGAAAAGCTGTTTTTTTTTTCTCAATACCCCCTACATTAACCAAAGCAAGTATCATGAAATACAGGACATATTGCAGCGAAAGCCAGCACTGCGTACAGATTTACGGCTGAAAATAGTCCTAAAATCTATTGAATCCAATGTTTTGATGTTCATGTTGAAAGCAAGGTCCAGTTGACTTAAGAGGCTTTCCAGCCTCTTTAGAAAATAGATTTCAGTAAAGTGAATGTTCTAAATATCACAGATTGGATTTTCAGTCATTTGTATTATTTGTTTATGTTGGAGAACAAGGACTATCACAAGCCTGAAGCCCAAAGTACCTTTCTAAAAACACACTTGTCAGTCATAGCATTTGACCCCTGACAAGTGTGTTAAATAACACTAATAGCCTCTTCTTAACGACAATTGTTAGAGGTTGGGGTTGATGAGGTGGCAAAATAAAGAAGTGTCCCCAGAGTTGATGTGTTACAAGCAGGAGAAATGGGGAGCAGTAGAGATTTGAGTGAGTTTCACCAGAGCCAAATTGAGACGGCTAGACCACTGGGTCAGAGTCGTATCAAAACGGGAGCTCATGAGGGGGTTCCTCATCTGCTGGGGTTCAAGGAAGGAACACTGCTTAACCTGCAAGAAGACTATAGCTCACTGTTGTCTGTGGGGGGCAAACCCTTGTATCTGCTGCTTTGGCCCAGATTAGTTTATACTGTAGACCAACATTTGGCATGTGAGTTGTGGAAGAAAGTGCACACCTGAGTAACACGTGGCACCAGGGTGCACCATAGGAAACGTCTCTTTGTAGTGATATGTGCCAAAAAGCAAAAAATCAGCATGGGAATAGTTTTTGCATCAAATCAATGAGTCGTAGATCTTTGCTTCTCAAATCAATCAAGCGTCTGAAGGATGTACTCGATTGCAAAGAGTCCAAACAAGTGAGGCTTCACTTCCCAGCTCCAGCATTGAACCGACCTTCTTGGTTGCCATGCGCACCTTCTGATGTCTTGTGGATGTTTTGGCAACACATTCAGGGCTAACATACTGTACATTTGGCTATGAGGTTATAAGAATATGCCTCATCAGTGTGTTAATCATTTTCACTTTGGAAACATATTTCAGTCCAGATAAGAAGCGAACCTTCAAAGGAAAACCCTGAAATACCCTCTTTTTTTCTTATTAGTAGATGGAGGTCAAGATGTTTTCTGGCAAATGTGAAAAGGGGCCTCTGTGTTCTTTTTAACAAGCAGAGGTTGTACCTTGAATCTCTCCCATGGATGTCATTTTTCCCCCCCAGTCTCTTTCTTTTATTGTTGAATCGTGAACACTGACCTTAAACGAAGCAAGTGAGGCATGCAGTGCTTCGGCTTTTTGTTCTAGGTTCTTTTATGACGTCCTGGATGAGTTGTACTTTTAGAGAAATTTTGGGAGGCCAGGCCACACGTCAGCAGGTTCACCACCGGTCTGTGGACGATGGCTCTCTCTGAGGTCCACTGAAGTCGGAAACCCATCGAAGGGGTTGAATATAATAAATGTCAATGACTTTTCTTCACATCTGTTATTGTATTATCTTTTTTAATTGGGGCAGAATGTGTTGATTTCTGAGATTTTTAACTCCACGCCGTCACACGTCACAGTCGGGTGGTTTCTCAATTCTGCAGGTCTGGCAGTAATCAGGCACGGGCATGGCTGCATAAATTGAACAGAAAGAAATGTGGGTAATGAAGCATTTAAGTGAGTAAAAGAGGAAATCTTCATAGCACTGCAAGTCTGTGTGGATAAACCGAAAGCAAGTCTTCAAAATTGTTCAGCATTCAACCTAAACAACCAAGTGCTGTTGTGTGCTAAATCCAAAAAAAACGGCGAAGAAACACCTTTTTATTATTTTTGACTACACAAACGTAGTAAATGAAACCAAATGTGTTCAACAATTAATTCATTGACATTTTTTTTTTCCAATCCTCTAAGTTAGAAGGTAAAAGTATTTTCCCCATTTTAATCCTTCTGATTGTGCTACAGTATCCTGCTGATTGTGATGCAAGGGTGGCGGTGTGTTAATTATCTTAATTGGCTGCATCTGTGAAGGAGTGGATATTCACCATTGTCACCGAGCTCTTGTGCTCTCTGAACCCTTTAGATTACATTTACTTATGTTAATTCGGTTAATTAGAAACTGCAATGACAAGTCCGGGCATGTTTGTGCATTCACACTCCAACCCGTTTGATTCCAGCCTTCCAGCCTTCTTCCTTCAAATAGCACTCGCTTTATAGTCGAGGTTAAATTTTCCAAGCCACATTCAACCTGTGGTATTAATCTGATCATGGTTGTACTGATAAGAATGTCCTTTCTGCTCTGAGGATAATTAAAGTTAAAAGTCCATGTTTGAATTTTCACATCCTCAAGTAAGAGTGATTTTTTTTTTTTTTTTTTAAATGCCCTGTGGAATCTGGTTTCAGCTTCCCGGGATGAAAAACGAGGAGTGGGAGATGTTACCGCTTATGTGTGACGATGATGAAAGCTGGAACTTATTAGCAAAGGCTGACACTGAGAAGCAGAAAAGCTTCATGGGAGACAAACATTTCATACCATGTAAGAGGGAGCTTGTACGGCCTTTTTAAGAACTCTCCTAGCTGTTTTAAATTCAAGATTTTGACCCTGTGAAGTCTGCATGCATAATCTATACCACTGCTCCCATCACAGGGTTCCTTTTTTTTTTTTTTTTTTTTGCTTCCTTGGGAATAAACTCAGTATTCCCCGGGTTACAGGGGTTTTTTAGCCACAAACAAGGATGCCTCTGTTTCTCTCATCTCCGGCATAGGAGCTCCGTCTGTCTCTGTCACATCTTCTCTCCAGGATTCTCGTCTTAAATTCTGCAGCTTATAAAGTTTCTTCAAACCTTCAGACTCTCTTCTGTCACTCAAATGTATGGATTTTTTTTTCTTTCTACTTTTTTTTCTGTTTCTTACAACCTATATTATCTCCAGTTTCACCTGTTCTGCTGCTTTCTGCATACCTGTTCCACTTTTGTGCCATTGAACCAACACGTTTGCGTATTTCTTGGCTCCTTGCTGTGGTACCAGTAGTTGTTGTGGACAGCGTCTCTTGCAAACAGATAATTTTAACTGAACAATATCTGGATGGATGTTCATAAGCTTGTAAAGCTTTTAGAAATCAAAACAATGCATGATAGGCTGAAAATTAGCTTATGCAGTGCTTGTTAAAAGCATTATTTCGCCTTTTTTTACTTGATGCATTGCAGTGAAAAACTGATGAATTTTATTAGGATTCTGTGTAACAGAGCAGCAAAAAATGAAGTAAATAAAGTAGTTTTTCTTAAACAAAACAAAAAAATCTAAAAACCTGTGGTGTGCATTTTCTATTTAACCCCCTTTAAACTATCTCCAAATAAATAAAATCTGCTGCCTTCAGATGTCTTCTAATAAGTATGACCAACTATGTGTATCGTATTATCAGTACAAATAAAGCTACTCCAAGTGGGCTTCAGAAATTTCCTTGAAAACATTATTGAACAAACCGAAGAACGCAATGGAAGAAACAAATACTGAATAGCATAATTAATAGATTATGCTAACAGGGAATCATTTTAGCTGCAGCATCCCACTGTGGGGACACTTTTATTCAGAAGGAAAAAGGTGGCTGGTGAGAGTTGGTCGTCATTACTGTGATGGAATTAAATCAGAGCAACTTGCAGGGGGGAAACAATAGATGCTGCAAAAGACTTGAAACCTGACCAGAATAAACAACCTAAACATGCAACAGGAACTACAGTGCAATGGCTTGGAACTTGTCCCATGGATCTGAATCGAAACAAATACCACACTTTCTATGTCTTTCCATTTGTTATTATCTTTACAATGATGCCATGTTTTGTTTAGGTCTCTGACAGAAACTCCCCATGAAATATGTTAAGTTTTATGATTTTGATGTGAAAAAACATGGGAACAACTCAGGCATTATAATGTTTTGGTGCAATGCAGATTCCTGTGCAATTGTTGCTTTTCGATTAATCCAACATGAACTGAAAATGGCACAATGTCTGTCTTTAAATAGAAGTCGGAGTGAGACAAGTGCCCTCCTTTCTCCTTAAAAATCCATACATGGTTTGATTTATTTAATGCGTCCTTCCTCTCACCCTTTCCAAGGCTCTCGCCCCCGCGACTGCGGCGATCTGTACGCCAGTGGTCAGAGAGAGGACGGCATCTACTCCGTGTTTCCCGTTCACCACCCTACGGGCTTCCAGGTCTACTGCGACATGACCACGGACGGAGGAGGCTGGACGGTGAGTCAGACCTGATCCGGAGAAAAAAAAACACATAAAACACTCTTAAGCTTTTTTTTTTTTTTTTGTGCGTGCATTTCTGCTCAGTCGATAAGTTTCCTCTATGGTAATAATCAAGGTGTAAACAGAAAAATGGAATAGGCCCCGCAGGCCTTTTGAACCCATCTACTCTCATAAGATATACCGAATGTATTAAGCATCCAAAGTAGGAAAAAAAATGGATTCACCAAAGCTGAACCCACCTGCACACATCAACTCCATTCACTCATCCAGCACTTAATGTTGTATACATTTTTTTTTTATTTTGAGCACCTACTGTAATTACAGATGTACTGCCTCGGGATTCTCATGTATTAAGCACTTCATCAAAGTTCATGTAACAGAATAACAAGGAGATATCGGCACCAAGCTTCAAGTGCACCTTTTTAAAATATTTCTAGGAGATTTTTTTTTGTATGTTTTTGTCATATAGAGGGTAAATTTTTTTTTTTTTTTTTTTTTCCAAAAGAAATCTGAAACAGGAGTTGCTGGACGAAGAAAGCTATTAGAAAAGCACAGATGGACATGACATGTTCAGCCATTGGAGGTAAATAAAAAATGAAAAAGGTGCCGTCATAGTGGAAGGGGAGATTTAAAGATCAGCTTTAATCTAAATTGCCTGCTGACGCCGAGATGCCTCTTCAGATAAAAACGTAGTGCAGTTTAGGAACGACAACATGCACAGCCGGCACATTTGAATAAAGCTTCTGTGTAAAACAATTTATCATTCTGCTTCAAAGGCACAAAAATAAACTGTTTCCATTATGGGTGACAGATTTCCGACTTGCTCCTGCTTTCTGCACCTTTCTTTCTCAAGTATGTCTGATAAAGCTTTGTAATCCTTAAAGGTAGACATAGAAATTTAGAGCGCTTCCAAGCATAAGTAGTTATTTTCCTCAACGTCTCTCAGTCGACTGGACCTTCTCAAGTAAACAATCCCGTTTGATTTGGACTGTCTCCTGGAAGTGCTGCATCTTCTGGGAGAGAGCGAGAGGAAGAGAGAGACAGCGAGGTGAACAAACACCGACACCCAGCTGCTTGAAGCTATATTGGGAATTGTAGTTCAGATGTATTTTTCTCAGTACACACGAGCTCTTTCCAGTTAGAGACGTTTATTTCTTTTTTTGGTTCTGAGGTGTACCAAAGCTGCCTTTAGGAAGTGCAGATGTTCCTATAGGAGAAGGGGGAATTCATATATATATATATATATATATATATATATAAAATTTCAGTGACGTAAATCCATCACAACCTTTCATTTTACCCTTTCACAGGCTGTGATGCAACTTTTAAAAATGCATAAAGAGGCGAACTTTGAAATCCATTCCAAACTTTTTTTACAATGTAATTTTCATTTCTGTATGTGCTGAGCAAAGTGATGCAAGTTTTTTGAAAAGTGTTTCACATGCTCCAGGGGAATAAACACTTTTCAGAATTTAGCTTTAAACTCAATGGGGCGACATTTTGACAGCTGTTTCTGTGGTCCATTTTTATTTATTTATTTTTATTTTTTGCTTCTGCATAATACAGTACCAGGTACATATTTTCACAATCTCGGTAAGCATTTTTTTTTTTTTAAAGAAGAAAACTACAAATAAGTTCACATTTTTATTCCAGTAGCTTCAACTCACACTGAACCTTTTAGGGGAAAAAAAAACAGCCTTTAATTTGAGAGCATTTATTCAGTATAGAAAATAAATTGTACTTTACTCTTTACACTAATTCAAGTTTCTTTTAACTTCTAATTAGCAATTTATTATGTTCTTTTTTTTTCCTGGGATGTAGACAGAACATGATGAAGACTATTTATTTTAGCCATTATCCACTAGACAAGAACTAATGTTTATCTCAAACCTGTTGGAAAGAGTGTGACCTTAAAGATGCAGAAAGCATCGGCAAAGATGAAGCAACTTATTTCTTACCATCACAAAAGTGAGTAAGAATAGATTGTACTGGAACTTTAACTGAGTTTAGATGATCCAGATTGAGATATATCGGATGCTCACCGTAAAGGATTTATCAATGTGTGACATTTTATTTTGCTATGTCGTTTTGTTGACTTTGAAACTGTTTTATGTTTTAAAGCCCCATCTGGAGGTTAGCACTGCAAATAAGCTAAGGCTAAAAAATGCAATAGTGTTCTGTTTTGTTAGTACTCAACACTTGTCCCCGTGAAAATAAACAATAAAAAAATAAAGAAAGCAAGTACAACAGAGGACATGTGATGGTGTAGCACCAGAATGGATTCGAGTTCAACAAGTCAAAAAATGATCTACCCAAATTATTATTGGGTAGAGATCCCTCTCTCTGCACACTCCAAACATTTGAATTGTTATAGTAGAAGAACTGTCCTATTGGCTGAAGTTGATGTTAAAAAGTACTGACAGCTAAGGTAATGCTAATTGTTTCACCGAAAACATCTCCTCCATAACATGACCTGCATTAATTTCCTGATTTCAATGGCTGGACTTTTCAAAATTTTCCAAAGCAAGACTTTGGAACTAAAGTAAAAGATTTCCCAGTAAGGTTATTTTAAGGTATTCAAGTCAAAAATTCCTGCTTATTTTATCCAAGGACGTTTCCAAACCTTTAAGAAGTACTGTTTACCTTTTAATTGGAAAAATCTCAATTTATTATAAGCATTAGGAGTTAAACCGTTATAATTTTCACAGTATTTGCCAAGTCAAGGCTGAGACGTGAAAAAAAATAACACAATTTCTTCTAAAAGTAATTCACCGCGCGCTTCTCTTCCTAATCCTGATGACGGCGAGCTGCGTGCCGATACCCGTGCATGCTTGTGAATCTGTCACCGAGTTTGTGTGCGAGGCAAGGTCAAACCCCTTCCCTCCGCTCCCCCCTTTCCTCATCAAATGAAGTAAATCTGTCAGAGTGACGGAGTTCTAAGCGGCGCATGATGGAGCGGAGCGACGTACGGGCCCGTCAGGGGCTGGACGTGTTTGCGCGCGTCCATCTATGCGTGAATTACCGTTTGCATCAAAGCGAAGGTGGCCCCGCACGCCAAAAACCCCCGAGCTGTTCTCAGTTAGCGAGGTGCTGTCCATGCCGCCCAATAAAAAAGAAAAAAAAAAAACAAGGGATATTCACAGCTGCTCAGATTGAGGCGATAACAAGCAGCTACTGATCCTGCCTGCAGTGTTGAGCTGCTTGTGATAATCTCTGAGCCTCATTAGGAGATCAGCATTGTGTAGTCCAACAGGAGCAGGTAGCAGGATTCTCAGGGAGCTGAGTGGCTTACTGTCTGCTGAGCTTAAATAAGGAATGAGCCATATGCTGCCACCTCATTAGCATGGTTTGACATACTGTTGCAGACAGACTGAAAGACTGAAAGATGAGCAGGTTACTCAGAAGAAAAAGGGGGAGGGGACAGATGAGCCGTTTGAGGAGGGAGGAAGTGCGAGCAGGACATAAAAGACACAACGGAGGAGCATGAATGTCATTTTTCTTACTCCCCGTAAAGGCATACTTCAAAAATGGCCTGTAATAAAATCTTTCTTTTCTGCTGTATTGGCAGTAAAGACGGGGGGCCTCTCGGGGAGCCTTGAAGATAATGGAGTTATCTCAAGTGGCACTAGATTTTGATACCAATCAGTACAATTACACCATCAGTCAATTATGACCTTTCAAAATAGGTTTCTTCTTTTTTTTTTTTTTTTAATGCGTGGCAGCTCTGACGGTACCCGAATGCATCGCGCCAAGCAGGTCTGGTTTCTTTTTCACATGAAAGATGTATCCTTCGTTGTGAGAGGCTCAGTGGGGAAAAAAAAAAAAAAAAATTAAATCCCCCAAAAAAGTCGAACCTGAAGCAGTCATGAAAAAAAAAAGGCAAAATGATCAAAGGCGCTGTTTTCCATAATGCCACGTTAGATTCAAAATCAAGCTGGTAAAACTAGCCTAGGACAGCCACCCACAGACAGTCACTGCTTCAAACTTCCGGAGTGAAGGATTATCCTCTGGATTCATGTAAGCATAAAACTATTCAGTGAATAATGAAGCCTTGGGGGTGTATTTGTCGCCCCAGCCATTCGTACGATAAATTACTCATTACCAGATTTCTTTACAGAGTTGCCTCATCAGTTTTTAATAAAATGCTTCAAATAATTGAAAAAAAGTGAAGCGCTTCCCACAGGGATCAGAAAAGAGCAGATAACTGTTCGCTGCACTTATCTGATTTATTTAAAGATTAAGAGAAGAAGAGAGAAAGAAGAAAGACATCGTAAACGAACGTAGTGTTTTTGGGCTTGAGCAGATCTAAAGAACAACTGAGGAATACTTGAGCTGAACATGTGGGCTGAATCTCTCCGGGTCAAAAAGGGACCTCGAGAGAAAAAAAAATCACTGATTGTATTAACGCAGAAGGGAAATCACTCAAAACACATCTGAAGCAGTAATCTGAAGAGACGGAGCAGGGAACTGAACCAGCCAGAGGCCATATCCATTAAGTGATGCTTCTTGCTGTACTTTTGGGTTTGGATGCTCTTTGCTGAACTTGCTGGTGTCTCTCTGGAGTTTGTGTTTTACTTTATATGGTGAGAGTCAAAAGTAAGTTTTGTGTTTGTTTAAAAAAAAAAAAAATACATTCAGAGCATAGTCTCTGTTCAGACGAGGTAAAACATCGCCTGTTTAAATCGGATTAGCCACGCCTTACGTGATGCAAGTTTCAGTTTGTTTGTCCTAAAAGCTATATTTTAAAAAGTAAAAACTATTGAGTCAAAATATGTATAAAAATCAGAGGTACATATCAAAACATTTGCATATTGTGCAGAAGAGTAATATTTCTTCCAAGAAATATTGCCAGTCATTTCAGTTTCTTGAAATGACTGGCAAGAAACTGAAATGGTCATTATATAGAGATTTATTACACATAGAGCAAAATATTTTCACACGTTTTTTATTTGTATTTTAAAGATTGTGGCTTACAGGCCCAGATTTTCTCAGAAAATCAGAATATCACATTAGATGAGTC